GGCTTTTCGCAAATATTCAAATTAATATTATATATGTTATGTTAGAAAGTTGTCCCTGTATTAATTTTCTTAATTAATGCAGTTTTAGTTTATAAGTTTTAGTTTATAAGAAAATGTTTTAGTAATATAAGAATTACTTATAGTTTTAGTTTATAAGAAAATGTTGAAATAGGAACTGGAAAATGCCAATCACTTGGTTTTAAAAATTTAAAAGTTTAATAGTAATAAAATGGGTCCAAAAATCTAAATTGTCCAAATTATTATTACTCTAATTCTATTACTGTTTTATAGTCATACAATATTACTATAAAATATTAGTATAAAATATAGTGATATTTTACAGTAATATTGTATAGCTATATTTATAGTAATATTTTATAGTAATATTGTATAGTAATATTTTATTACTATAAACAATATGAGACAATAAAAACTAAGAGTATATTTTTATTTATATAGTTATATTTATATTTAAATATATAAAAATATATATCAAAAGGAAATATATTTTTATCTTTTTATATTTTTATCTTTTTATATTTTAATATTTTTATATTTTTATATATTCTATTGATTAATATATATTAACTATATATAGCTTTATATATTTATTTATATATAGTATAGTAATATATATTAACTATGTATATAGTTTTACATAGAGTTATGTTTAAATATAACTATATATATTTATTTATATTTACATATAAACGATACCTGTTTAAATACATAGTTATATTTATAACTATATATATTTATAATATATATTTATTTATAATTATCATAGTTATATTTATAACTATATGTTTATAAATACAACTATATATAGTTATATTTATATAACTAGTTTTATAACCATTCGATTACTATTAAACTTTTAAAATTTATAAAAATTTAAAATTAATTTACTTTTATAAACTTATATATAAATATAACTATAGTTTTTATAAACTTATATATAAGTTTATAAAAACTATAGTTATATTTATAACTTTGTATATTTATATAACAATCATAATAACCATTTTATTACTAATAAAATTTTAAATTTTTAAAAGCAAGCGATTGGCATTTTTCACGCTATCCATCAATCCCACCACAGCGTTCATCCCTTTTTTTGTGCCTCCCGCTCAGGTTCTGTCGGCGCTGGCGAGGATCATGAAGGAGTGCTGGTACCAGAGCCCCTCCGCCCGTCTCACCGCCCTGCGCATTAAAAAGACCTTGAAGAAGCTCAGCAATTCC